TATTAAATCAAAATCCTCATTTCAAGCTAGTCATTTCTAGGAAACTCATCATCAGTCTCTCATCTTCAAGTCCCTGTGGGCAAAGAGAAGGTCTACAAATATTCAGACTTTTTTTCAGCATCCCCCAAAAGATGAAGATTTCGTATGTGAGCAGGCATGATCTCCCCCCTCCTCCCCCTGCCCCGTGCCTGGGTACCCACTATTGACTTGTAACTTGCCATTGTCTTGTGTATAAAAAAAATGCCATAACTTCCTATTTCTTGAAGCCACTTCCTCAAACTTTCTCCTCGGGAAAAACACAGCAAAGACAGAAGATGTTTTAGAAACTGGGTATCTTTCTGCAGTCCGCGTGTGGACTATCTAGTGGCTCTTGGGGCCTGGGCCTTGCTACAGCACTGAAAGACGTAGTAACTTTTGATAAAGGCTGCAAGGACAGGGACAGTTCTCTCTATGACTTTCCCATTTTACACTGGTCCTTTGTCAGTTTGGGTTGACGTCCCAATCTTCTTTTTTTCTCTTTCACCTGAAAGGAGGTGGTCCCTCTCTCTACTTCTACTATAACAGAAAACACGTGCAGTCAAAACGCTGCTGATGTGCTTGATTCGACTTGTGCATCTGAAATGAATTTTGCACATTCCAGCTGGAGAACGTATTGAGGTAGAACTCTGTTCCCCATCATGCCTCCCTCCGCTTGAACGCTCACTTAAAAAAAGCTGCAACTTTTCTAACATCTCGCATGATGAACCTTTGCTATGGTTATGACACAGCAAGAGCACTTGAAGAGTAACCTGCATAATTTGTAGTTCCTTTGTGTTGGAGGAGAGTGCAGTGAGAAAGTAACCATCAGACGACTTCCAGTGTAAGCGTTTTGCCGCTCGGATGCGTCTTGTCTCGCTCAGATGGAGATGCACTGAGACCTGGCTGACAGGAGGGGTTCGAGTTCGTCCCGGAGACACCCAGCCTGGGGAGCTGAGGAGACCCTCTTCCAAGGGGACGCCCAAGGAATTGAGGCTCACCTTCTTCCCTGATAGGTACCGTCTCCGGGGAGCCAGCATGGCACCCAGAGACAACTGCCGGAGCAAGCGATCATGACCAAACTACTAAAAAGACTTCCAAAGATCTCTAAGGCTACAAACTGTGAGTTAAGCAAAGCTCAGGTGAAAAATAAGCGAATGGAGCCTTGGTAGTAATTGGAAGCACCTAAGTTGGAAGCGCGGGGGGAGGAGATTTCAAGCCCCCCCCCCATATAAGTAAAATGTAAAAACGGTTTTAAAATGAAAATAAAGAGACTTTGAGCCAAACCAAGCATATAAGAAGCTAAGCAAATGCAAAAGCTGCTAAAATATACGAAGTGGAATTAAAACGTATAACTTTTGCTTTGTTTTGAAAAACTTACTTCTTGTTGATATGGCTAGGAGAGGACGGAGAGCGCCGGAGAAAAAACTGGTGACCAGAAATAACATACCAACGACTCCCTCCCAGAAGCAGGAAGCATCTACAGACTTCTCTTCGTTGTTAGCAAATGCACTGCGCCCTCTAATGGATCAGATGACTACTCTCAACACCAAACTGGATAATGTGCAGAAACAGTTAAAGCAGATGAACAAGAGAACCACAGCAACCGAGAAAACATTGAAAAAGATGGAAAAACAGACTGAGAGTATTAATAAAAGAGTGGACGAAGCAGAGAAGGAGAGATCCTCTTATAAAACCCAACAAATACAGCTCCAGCTGGAAAGATCCATGTATGTTTTACGTTTCCATGGAATACCTGAGGATAAGAATGAGGACTTAAAGGAAATCTTGGCGGTTGCCTTGGCCCCACTAATGGATTATAAACAAGAAGACTTAATTAAGGAAATGGATGTGGCGTACAGGACTTATCCGGATTTTATAAAGAAAAATAAACTCCCAGGGGAAATCTACTTAAAATTCACGAAATGATCAACCAAAGAACTGGTGCTAAAGTCAACAATGGGGAAATCCTTAAAAATCAAGAATGAAGAGATAAAAATTTTGAAAGACATCCCATTTGAAGTAAGAAAACGGAGGAAACTATACAGAATGCTTACCCTCTCTCTGCAAAAAAAGGGAACACAGTATAGATGGCTATTCCCGAAAGGGTTCAGTTTTAATTACCAGGATAAAAAATATAAAATTGACTCTGTTCCGAAAGCGGAAAGATTTATGGGTCAAATGTTTAATGTAAAAAAGAAGCAGAAGGAAAAGAATTTAAAACCGGATGTGGAGAATAAAGAAGAAGAGGAGGAGTCCTACTCACAGGACTCAACAAGCCAAACTTCCTCGTCATCAGAATCATCTGAATCGGAGAAAGGAGAGGCCGCTCCCAAACTGCAGAAAACGAAGAAATCTAAGAAGAAAAGACTCTAAAACCAAAGCATGAGTGCTAAGGGCAGTAACTGTGCCAAGCTAATAACTTTATATATTTATAGTCGAACTAATCTCTGTATAACCTGTTCCAATAGGTTTGAGCTTTTCAGATCGTGATTTGTATTAGTCTTTACCCTATCCCCATATCCAGTAGGAGATTTAGAATAGAGCTTTCCTTCCTCTATCCAGTAGACTATATGTATCTAGATCTCCCTGACCCATTTCCCATAGTAATAGTGATAGGGCATTAGTATTCCTTTCCCCATTCCGTATATGTAGTGTGTAGTGTGTAGAAAATTAAAAAATAAAAAAATTCCCCTTTGCAGGGTCAAAAAAAAAAGTAACCATCAGACAAGAGGTTTTGGGATACCTGATAACGGTGAGTTTCTCACCAGATGGGGGAGTTTTGTGACTGTATCAAAGCAATGGATCACTAAGGTGGTGATGTTATGTTTACAGGAAGACTGCTGGGTAGATCTTGAGAATCCATGAACTGTGGTGTGCTATATAGTGATGTATGCTGATTTTGGTCAGTCATAACCTAGGAGCTGAAGGATGCCTTAAGCAAGTTCTTGGATGTTATGAGAGCTATTTTATTATTTTGAACAATCATGGTATTGCTGTTGTGTTGAATTTTTGTCTATGATATCTATAATTTTAAATCAAAATGCTCATCTAAAGGCTGATCAGCCACCCCCAGCATCCCAGTCTGCATTCTGAGAGAGAAAAACTAAGCTTAATGTAGCCGCTAAAGGTTTCCCTTCCTTGAAAGCCAGTCGAATCCGACTCTAGGGGGCGGTGCTCATCTCCATTTCCAAGCCGAAGAGCCAGTGCTATCCGAAGATGTTTCCTTGGTCATGTGACCAGCATGCCGAGGTGCACGGAATGCTGTTACCTTCCCACTGAAGTGATACCTATTTATCTACTTGCAGTTTCTTGCTTTTGAACTGCTAGGTTGGGAGGAGCTGGGGGCAGAGACGGGAGCTCAAATCCGTCAGGCGGCACTCGGGTCTCGAACTGCCTTTCAGTCTACAGCTCAGCGTCTTAACCTCTGAGCTACCATGGCCCTGATGTAGCTGAGATTACACAAAGTCATCGCTAGTGTGGATTCTGGGTGAGGCAGCAGTAGGCCGAGCACTTCACTTGCATAAAATAATAGTACTAAATGAACAAGAACTCTGGCAAAAGGAAAGATTATGCTTTAGATGGGCAAAAAAAACTAGTTACAAAACATTCAAATACTGACATCAAGGCACAGATTTTTAACTACTACAACTTGGCTGTCCTTCAATAAACTTTGGCCATATAGTATGCTTACCGGATAGAGATTCATGCCGGCCAAATTTCAGATTCTTGGAACAAACATCTCACTTTTATGACAAATGGAATTTTCGGGCTGTATAATGAGAACAACCTGGGGGGGGGAAGCTTTGAAAATAGCTGCTTTATGACCCCGCTCAGCTCTGATTTCTTGTGGGAATTTTGAGGGGATGGTACCTGTTCCCCAGTGACAATGTTGCCTGCTCAGAATCATCCGTCAGCAGGCATGTTCTCACATGCCCATTCCCCCTTCGTTCCTACAGGGGTATGCACAAGTGACTAAGTTAATTCCAGTTCCTAGGAATTCCTCATCGTTTGTCCAGATAAGAAGATTCCGTTGGTTGGTTGGTTTCTGATGAAGAGTTGTGGGTTAATATAACACCAGCCAGGAAGGCTTTAAGACAAAGCCATAAACTCCCACTACTTTCTTTTGTGGAACAGCTCCCAAGTCCAGGGTGGTCAGCTGGCTCCCAAGTCCCTTTTAGTTGGTACAGCACTGAATAAAAAGCAATGTATTTGATGTTGGATTGATTGCGCTAGTGTCACTGGGGGCAAGGAACAAATACAGAACTTTTGCTCCGTAAGTAAGTTCCATTAAGTTCCATTATAGACTTACTCCCAGGTAGGCATCGCAGCTTTAAGCATTTTGTAGAAGGTCCAGAGGGATGTCATCTTCACTGTTGAGTCACTATATAATGACAAATTGGACAATAAAACCACTACTCTGTTGCAGTTGACATTATCAGCTACCTTTCTTAACAGTGTGAAGCAGAGGAAACAAATACCTGTTATCTGTTGTACCATTTTTAGAAAGAGGCTGTTCCTAGATTAGGTAAACTAGTTGATGCTACAATCGTGGCAACATATTTCAGCCTTCACAGAGTCTGAGCACATTTTAGCATGCGTAGTGCCGTGTGTACATATTCTAAATGTAATCATAGTTGTATTCTTCCAGGCTAATTGTTTTGAATAAGCTATTAAGTGAGAAGCATAAATGTTTGTCCTTGTAAATGTACTGCCTGCTACATCTCAGAAGCTCAGTCTTGGTAACAAGGGACATTCATCATCCCGTAAAAAGAGAATGAAACTCAAACAATTTGAGTGGAAGGGGCAACAACTTTTGATGTTCTTGGAACAACAATATCTGTCTGAAAGGAGAGAAATTCCTCAGTTCGCAGTGATGTACACTAAATATGATAGTCTATTTCCCCTTTATAAATGAAGTGAACTATAGTTGTAAACAGAACAATAATTATTTTCCCCCTCCTTTCCTCTTCTGTTTTTTATAGGTCTCAGAGGGCTAATCAATCTTGGGAACACGTGTTTTATGAACTGTATAGTCCAAGCACTTACCCACACTCCTCTACTGCGAGATTTCTTCCTCTCCGACAGACACAAATGTGAAATGCAAAGTCCCAGCTCATGTCTGGTCTGTGAAATGTCTACACTTTTTCAGGAGGTGAGTCATCTCAAGAGAGATATTTTTCTCCACTCGTAACACGCAGGTTGCATGTTCATGCATCCTGCTTTTTGTTGTTTAGCACCGTTACGTTTGATTTCTTACACTCTGTGCAGACATCACAACAAACTATGGTTTGTTGTGGTACCCAGGCTGTGATTTCACTCCTCCTGTCTCTGTCTCTTATGTGGTGGTGTAACTGCTGGAAGCAGAGCAGACTGCCCTAAACACGGTTTGTCCATTCTAAAGAGCAGCCAGTATGGACTGGTTTGGCAGTCCATTTCAAATCATGGCTTCTGATTTTTGATTGCCAGTCAGCTACAGACTGTAGTTTAATTCAGACCATCAGGCCAAACCATAATTAATTTTTTAACCTTTTATGGCATGTTGTCTGAATTGAGCTTTATTGGGGTAGGGCATTGGCATGCGTAGTAATTGCATTAAAAAAAAAACCAGGAAGGGTATCATAACTGTGGTGTGAGGCAGGCTGCTGTGGTGTGAGGTAGAACTTGTCCATACTACTAGTTTTTCATCAGTCATACTGAATAGAAGCTCTCTTGTGATCGGCATCTTCTTGCAGGGCAAATACATAGGTACTGGCACCGCAGGACTTCTTGTTCACACAGCGAATTTCCTAGTGCTGAAACAGAGTTAAATACTAATTAGGAGAAAGGTGCCTTGTTCTGGTTGTCGACTCATTCCCTCTTTACTGGGAAGAAACAGGCAAGGAGTATAGTGAAGCACTTTAGGAAAATTGTGGCAGGATTATTTTCTCCAGGAGCACTGCACTGGAGTCTCTCACTGAAAATAGCAGGGCTTCTCTCTGCACAGTAGCATTACCTGTTCCGTGTAGGAGTGCCACTTTGTCTACAAAATTCTATTTTGTAAAGCAATTTGCTTTTCTTTCAGAAGTTAGGTTTGAAATTACCATGTAATTTCCAGGAAAAATAATATGCCGTTACTAGATTTCTCATTTTATTTATTTCCTGTAGTAATAAAGGCACGTGAATGTGTTTGTGTGATTTGGCCATGCATGTAAATGATGGCTTAGGCTCCTGACAGGAGAAAGCCGTTCAAAAGAAATGTTGATAACACCGTTAGAGCCTAGTTGGGAGTAACTGAAAACCTTCCCTAAGTACTGTGAATACCTTCTATTAATCTAAAATTGCCCCCTAAATAATAGTTCTTGGTAGCTTGTAAGCGAATCACATAATATAGCTATTAGACACTGAAATGAAAGTATTTTTTAATTATTTAAAATGCTCTTTTAGAGAGCCAGAAGCCCAATGAAGCCAGATGGTTATAGGGCAGGCGTAAGTGGAAAGGGAGGCAAGATCCAGTTTATTTAAATCCTTCTCGTCCTCCATTGTGAGCATGCAGACAGCAGTAGCTCATGGGATGGGTCTCAAGGAATACCCCAGTGCCAACCCCTAAGTGCCACTGGAGCGGTTAGTAGAAGATAATGGAAGGTGGCAACAAAAGTGCTAGGACCATGGCCGTAGCTACTTAATTGCTAGCAGAACCTGCCATGGGCTGATGATGTCACTAGCCAGCGCTAGATGCCGCTAGCTACTTAGCTGCATGCTTGCACCATGCTACAGCTGTGGCCCTGGCAGTTCCGCCGCCACCTCTTAATGCCCTCCAACAAAGGGCACTATGTCCACCTTCGCAATTCAGTGGCACTCAGTGAGGGGGGCGGGGATATTTCCTGCATTCCTCCCTGGAACCACTGTTGAGTGCGGGCCAAAGGCAAAGTTGCTCATGGTTGAGTGGAGCTAGTCTTCAGACCAATTCTCTGATTCTAGGAAGCAGGACGGAGTGGCCCAGCGCAGATGGAAGAGTAAGCATGGTTTGCTGCTTTAGTCCTGGTTAACCTCACAGGTGTACAGTCAAACCCTAGTTTAGCTACCCTGCCCCCTAAGAATGTTTATACCAATGAGACCTGCCTCTCACTTTGCAAGCGGAGCAGCTAGAAAAGTTGGAAAGGAGACATAAATGTTTGTTCAAATCAGGTATAACCACATTAATGTAAACCAGGCATCCCCAACCTTTTGGAGCCTGTGGGCACCTTTGGAATTCTGACACAGGGCCGAGGGCACCATCCACCTCCACACAGCCAAATACGGAATGTCAGCGAGTGTGGTTATGTGGAACTCTAATAATATCCAAACAACATTTCAAGCAGAAGCTCTGTTTGCCAATCAGAAACCCTGCTGGGCAAAAGCCCCACCTAGTCCTGCCCACTTTCTAAAAGCACTTGGTGAGTACCAGGAAAGTTGTTGGTGAGCACCACGGGTCCCGTAGGCACCACATCAGGGACCCCTGATGTAAACCATTTGCAAATCCACTGCAGGTTGTGGTTTTGCATCCAGTCCTTAACCTCTGCTTAAATATTCAAGCATTGTCTATGTCTGCTTTGGTCCATTGCGAGGAGGACAATAGTGCACAAAACTCTCTTTGTCTAGAGAGTTGGTCTTTTAAGTGGGATAAAATCAGTGCGTTTTGTTTGGCCCTATAAGGTAAGTGGGTGGGTTTAACAGCTATGATTGTGTCAGTCCCTTTTTACAAAAATTGTTTCAGTTAAATAATCCATTCCACTGCACATTCTGTGAACCAGGGATTACTCTTTATAACACGGACCTGGTTTAAGCAAAAATTAAAAACAGTAGAATTTGTTCACCAAGTTGGATCACTTTAATTACTGTTTTCTGCAGCCGCTTGCCTACCGAGTGAAATTACTGAAGTGGCTTAGTTCTCATGGGGATCTCTTTACTTTTCAAAATTACTGTTCTTTTGTGAGGTGATTGACAAGTCATCTCTGAAATAAAAGCGGCTGAGGGATTATAAAAAATGTACAAACATACAGTTACTGCAGAAGAACTTATTAGGTTATTGCCCATCCACATCAATGTAGTTTCCCCAAGGGGATTTGGGGCAGCAGGCAGTGCAGTGTGAATTGTACAGTTTGTGGCTTGAGAGTTTTAATGGGGGTAGTAGAAAATGTGTAAAGAGAGCACACATATATGTTCTTTGTTAATTTTCCTGTACTACAGGATCTTCAGACATGCATTCGTGCTGTTTGGACTCTAGATGTTGTGCTATCTGGACTGCACCTTATTTTTCTTTTCATTGATGCCCTAATGTCAGATTTAAGAAAAAAAATTAACTGAGCCAGCTTTGTTCTTACATCACAGAGAAATCAGAATTGTAGGTAACGTGCTTCAAAAAATCAGTTCAGTCAAAAAAAGTGCTTTGAGTTAACTGTTTGACCTCAAGTATGCATTTGGGAAAAGCTTGTCTGCTCAGACAGAATGAGGAACTCGGAAGGGAGGCTTGGCAGAGATATTTTGATGGGTCTGTGATATGCTTGTAGTCAAGCAGTCTTGGACGTACAAGTTGGTGTACGCTCAGGTGAAGTGTGAAAAGTCTGTGGCACACAACTGACTTCCATGACTTCTACAAAATTATACTAACTGAGCATCTTTTGTATATCTTTACTTATTTTGCATCATTTTGTTCTGCTTCTGTTTAGACCTGGGAATCAGCAAAAACCCCCCCCCCCCAATCCTATGCAGTATACTAATATTCCATTCCCAGCCAGTAGGGATGTGCCAAAAAATGGTATTTTTCAGGTTTGGGTATATTGAACTCAAAAAATATCAGTATTTCCCAATATTCCTGATGGTATTCCTGATGGTATTCAGATTTGGTAAATATTCAGGAAACCTGATTTTTTCGGCTCCATTATATACTATGGGGACCATTATAATCAAGGGTCTTCATAGGGTATAATAGAGAATCGATTGGGGGTATTCTCCCCCCCCCCCCAATTTCAAAAAGATTGGACCAGAGGGTCCAATTCTTTGGGCCACCAAAGAAGGTGCCCCCATCCTCCATTGATTTCAATGGAGGGGGGGAACATTTAAAGGAATCACAGTCCCTTTAAATGCCTTCTGCAAACTGAGGTCCGCAAGTGAACTCTGAAGGCTTTTAAAATGACAGGGATGTGAGTTCACCTGGAAGTTGCTTAAAAGGACTACGATCCCTTTAAATGCCCTTTAACTTTGGCTATCCAGTTGTCTTGAAAATCTTGAGTATTTCTGGTATTTTTGGAGCTTGGCCATTTTGAATAACCAAAATTCAGCCCCAATCGATATCCAGCTGAAAGAATATCCGGAAAATACTGATAAGGTATTTTTGGGATATTTTTCCCAGCTCGGATTTAGCTGAATGTACACCTATACCAGCCAGTGGGAATCCTGCCCAGTCTCCCCTTGAGCTTCTTAGATTTCATCAAACGTTCTCTTTTTACATTCACACCCAAGTTCATATTTGAACTTAATCTTTTTTTAAATGAACGCTGAGATACTTGGCTAAATACAGAGATCGTATCATCCCTGTGCTGAAAGATCTGAAGTGGCTGCACATTTGTTTCCGGGGTTCATCCAGCATGCCAGTTTTTGCCTTTCAAGGGACCCCCTCCTCTCACATCATCTGGCCCACCAGTTCAGATCCTCTTCCCAAGTCATGCAATCTGTGCCCCCCACTTTCATAGGTGAGAAGGGCGGCGACCAGAGGCAGGGGTTTTTCAGTGGTGGCACCTGACATTTGAAACACCTTCCTCGTTGCTTGCGTGGTGCCTCATTTACTGCCCCCTTAAGGCATCAGGCCAAATTATTTCTCTTTACACGGCCTTTTTGATTGAAGAATTCCATCCTTTTAGCTGTTTTTATGGTCTGTCTCTCATTTGAGGGCTGTCTTATGGCTATCATTTTAGGCTGCTTAGTGCTGTGTTTATGGCTTGCTCTGATGTTCTTGGCAGTCCTTTTTTTATTTTATTGCATTTGTTATTACTCTGAGCTGCCTTGAGCAGACTTCTGGAGAGACGGCCTATACATTGTCGAAATAAATAAATATTTTCTGTGGGTAGGGCCTAACCTATTGGGCATGTTCAAGTCCAGTGGCACAAACAGAGTGTGCATGAATGAAAGCTTATGCCCAGAATTAAACTTTGTTGTTCTTAAAGGGGCCACCAGACTCAGACTTTGCTCTATTGCTTCAGACCAACATGGCTACCCACCTGAGTCTGTTAGGGATGTATTTGGCATGGATGGTATGGTTTTGGTATAGGAATCTGGACTAGTTGTTCTTATTTATTTTATTTATTTATTTGTTAGATTTTTACCCCGCCCTCCCGCCGAAGCAGGTCCTCTTTGGGCTTAATCTTTGTGTGTGTGCACGCATGCATGCACGCATGCACACACACACACACTTTTTAGTGAATCCCATCTGTGGTTGTGTGTGTAAAATGTCACCAAGTTGCAGCTGATTTACAGTGACCACATAGAGTTTTCAAGGCAAGAGATGTTCAGATGCGGTTTGCCATTGCCTGCCTCTGCATAGCGACCCTGGACTTCCTCGGTGGTCTCCTATCCAAGGACTAACCAAGGCCAAACCCGCTTAGCTTCCAAGATCTGAGGAGATCTGGCTAGCCTGGGCCATCCTGATCAGAGTCACATGTGCTCAGTACAGACATAATAAGCAGTAAGCAGTCAGTCTTTTACTTAAGGTTAGAAAAATCACAAGCCATCTGCCCTTCCTTCCCTGGAGTACACTCCTTCCTCCCGCCTCAACCCTGAGTTTTGGGACATGCCCGCAAAGCCTTTTAACCACAGTTCAGGCTAATGGGGCTTGTGGTATCCTGTAACTATGCTTCAGGCAGGAGTAGGGAGTTCACTGCAGGAGGGGAGATGGCGTGCAGTCTCCTAACTGCAATTTATAGCACAGCATTGTCGTGCACATCAACACACGCTGTCCCAGTTTGAGCGTCAGCCTAGTAGAGAAAACCTGCTTCTTATACAATCTCCATTTCCAGCTCGATGTTTATGTGAAGATGGTCAGCTTCCTGAAAGGAGGCTTTCATTTCTCAGGCAGGTGTAGAGATGAGCACTGGTGTATTCCCAAAGTCTTGTGGTCTGTGCCCAGCAGGACCCTCTAGTTTTATATTTTGAGAGAGCTTCCAGCTTTGTATTGTAGCAACACTGAATTACCAGACTCCTGTCTGGAGGGAATGTCTGCTCAGCAGTAATCTGAGTGTGTCTATTAACCGATTGTTAGGACCCCTCCCTGCCCCCTCTTTGTCTTTCTCTTCCTACTGTCTGTACCGGGGTTGGTGCTGCCTTTGCATTTCAAAAAGAGAGAATCAATTTCATCTGTCCCGGGTCTGCTTTGTCTCCCAGTTTGCTTATCTGTTAAAAAAATAATGTACACAAATAACTGGAATCACACTCAAGCTGGGTGGTGGTGGTGGTTCTGAATGAAACACACGGTAATGGTTGCTTCCTGTACAGCATGGCTTATTCTCAGCTAGCGTACATCTCCAGGCATGGCCGTTGGGATGCGTGTGTACCTTCTGCATGGCATTAGCTAGTAATTTGAGAGAGCTGCTGCTTAAGAATCCTTTTCATCCTAATGAAACACTAAATAATATAAAATTGGATGGCTGCAGTGGAGTAATTATGGCAAGTGCTACTGGGTAGAGTGACCAGATAGTGTTGGGGGCTAATTGTAAGGAGCAATAGCACTGAGGAGTTTTATTGCTGCGGTTCCTTGAATTATGTTGTCATGGTAGCTTTGTTAGCAGATTTCAGTTACCACGCCCGGACTGCAGTCTCTCTGTGTCATTCTCGTTGGCATCCAAGAGTTGCCTTCATTGATCCTTTTCGCCTTGTTGCAATGCAGCAGGGTGGTCTCTTGCCAAAAAATATGATGCGTAGCTGTGCAAGGGAAAGAACTTTCTGTGTTGCGTGCCCTGCATGATTCCTGTACACGCCTCAAAGAGATGAGCTAGAGAGGCTGCATCTCTTCCCTCCAGCAAGATTATCAAGCAAGTATTCTGCCCATCTGCATGGACCCGTTAATGAGCTGAACCTCAAGCCGCCAAAAGGAATAGTCCTGGAAATGATGTCAGCAGTGTGTCTTCTCTTTGTCACGTGTCACTGTGGATTTTGTGGCTTGCGGAAACTCAGGAGGGATCACTACATGGTGAATAAGACCTCTGACAGGCAACGGCTTTCTGCATTCCTAGCCGAGCACCGATTTTCACAACAGGAGATGTAAGAAATGCCCTGGGGAAACTGGTTGCTTTTTCTACACACCTACTGAGCTTGCAGCCTTTTGTGAAAATGCGTCAAATAAGTCCAAGTGGCCCACCTAGGACTGACAGTTATGTGTAATGAGCAGCTGCATTGGTCCTGTAGAATGAGATAAAACACAACAAATGAGTCTATCTAGTCTTTTTTTAAAAAAACAAAACATCAAGCTTTGAAGTCAAAGCAAATTTTGGAAGGGAAGAACTGTGCTTTGATGTTTCAAAGAAATCTAAGCATAGCAATATCTACTTTTTTACTCCTGAATGCTTGTGTCTTAGTTTTTTTAAAAAAATGAAATACATTTCACACTTTGTCTGCTCTTCATGGAGTTGTGAAGTTAAAACATAGGACTGGTTGACAACTGTGAGAGGTGTGTGACCAGGTGTGTTGTCCAAAAAATGAGAGCCAGTACAGCCACCTGCTGGACATTTTGTTGCCTGATTGCTGCACTTCCAAAATGGACCAGGGAGGGTACTCCTGTGTTTGATTAACTGGAGGGTGGGACCAGATGTAACAGCTCAGGTGTCTACTACTGGGAACAGCAGCCCAACATCTCTTCTGCAACAAAGCTATGGAATCATAAAGTTGGAAGGGACCTCCAGGGTCATCTAGTCCAACCCCCTGCACAATGCAGGACATTCACAAATATCTCCCACCACCACCTTCTATACCCAGAAGAGGGCAAAAAAAAAAAATCCCTCCAGGATCCCTGACCAAACTGACCTCTGTTTGAAAACCTCCAAAGAAGGAGACCACATCACCTCCCGAGGAAGCCTGTCTCACTGAGGAACCACTCTAACTGTCAGGAAGTTCTTCCTGATGTTTAGCCAAAAACATTGATTTAATTTCAACCCGTTAGTTCTGGTCCAACCTTCTGGGGCAACAGAAAACAACTCTGGACCATCCTCTATATGACAGCCCTTCAAGTACTTAAGTACTTGAAGGTGGTTATCATATGATAACCATGATGGGATGATATTGTATTGTACATCCCCTCCTCCTTTCCCCCAAAGGAGCAGCCAGTAATGGGGGGGGGGGTGATTGACAGCAGGGAAGTGCATGATGTTTCATTGGTTTGTGCCTTTACTGTATGTTGTGTGTGTGTCGTCCCCCCCCGGCGTGCCAAGTCTTGTTAAGCCTGTGGGTAGTTTGGAAATTTTGAGTATGGGGAGTAGGGTATGACCACAAATTGGCTGCCATACAATGGTGGGGCCTGTCAAAAAAGTTGGGGAAATTGCAAGCCTAATATCCTCTTGTGATGGAGGCAGCAGTTTCCAAAAGCCTCATCCCCGCAGACTCAACGGTGATGCTTCTGGTATGGTGGAGGAAAGATAGAACAGGATTTTTGCTTGGGGGGGGGGTGAGTTCCTCAAAAACCATCACTAGGCACCATGGGTGCTATGTCAGGAATTAGCACTGCGTGTTACCCAGAGGAGGGCCTCGACACTGTATTGCCCTACAGTATTCCATTCATATGTAATTGAAAAACAGAAGTGTTTTCTCAAGACTCACCCCATCACTGAAATCTAGATTATAGAAATCCAGATTTTAGAGATCTCTAAATCTAAATGCTATTCTTCATGACACAACTGGACAGAAGCTGAAAGGACATTCAGTTGTTGATGTGAATGGATGCAAAAGGAAAGTCCAAAGCCGTTTGACTCAGTGAAAGAAGCCACAGCCTTCAGTATGCAAGACCTGAGCAAGGCTGTTAACGATAGGATGCTTTAGAGGTCATTAATTCATAGAGTTGCCATAAATCGTAAGTGACTTGATGGAACTTAACACACATACACACAGAGAGAGAGAAATCTAAATGAGAGAGTTTTATGTATTTGAGAGGCTGAAAGGCAGTATTTGAACAAAGTTTTTTGTTTTTTTTCTTTCCCT